GAGGTCTGATAGGGGAGCAGCCGGATAAGAAATCAAAAAAGGAACAGTAATTTAAAGTTTATTCCAGCTATAATGCAGGTTATTCTGACTTTAAGGTAGCATCACATGGCATACTTCTGAGTCCATTCCCGAGATATTCTGTTGTATCTGTAAATAAAGAAGAGGTTATTTAAAAAGTTAAAATAATGCTGAAGAGTTTTTAATATTAAAGGTGAGGAAAGACTTCTTTTTTTACCACCAGACTCATCATGAAGTTCCTCTCTAATGGATATCATTTAAAAAGCCAAAAACGGGAGAAATAATATTGTGCGTCAAAGCAATATGGGCATTGAGAGCTCTTTAACATTATTTTAATAAACACCAAAAGGGTTACTGAGCAGGCTAACAAAAATCCAAGAAAGATCTTTTCTTTCCCCTACCACTGAGCTACTGCTTCCTAGAAACTCTAAAAATTATGTAAAACACACACTGTAACATGTTACCATTTTAAGAATCTTTTGGTGTTAGAGCACGGGACTTAGCAGGAATAGCAAAAACATTCTGTACATCAATAAAAATTCCTATCAAAACCAGAATCTAATTATTTTAAAAAATCCAACAAAAAACTCCTCTTAATGCTAAACTTTGAGAGAAATAGCTAAGTAGCCTGGTTCTGAGTAGTATTAAAAGAGAAAATACCTCCAAGACGTAAGGCAAAGTTTAAAACGACATTGGGGAAGGTGGCCTTCATTATGTGTTGAATGTAGTTAGTAAATCTTACTAGAGACTTGCTAAATGGTATTTTTGTTATCAAAGTTCAGGTAATTTACATACAGGTAAAGTTGTTACTGTCACTAATAGAGAAATACAACCAACTTCTCTATGAATTATATCCTTGGCACCAACTACTTACTTAACTAGAGCCCCACCCCCCAAAACCTTCAGAAATCAACTTACTACAAAGAGCATATAGAACTTTAAAATTTACATTGACAATCCCAACTTAAGAACTTTCTATCGAATAAAAAGACTTAACACTGTAACTATCTTTAGAAATTTCAAGAAATACACAGTCTACTTATAGCTCTCTCATTTAAGACTATCCTCTCCAAAAGCCAGAATTTAAAACAGGCTTCAGCATACAGGGAGCCACAGCGTATAGCTGACATTAATGCATGCTTGTCAGTAATACACATTTAGTTGAGATGCTTAGGCTTTAAGGTGTTTCTTCCCCCTTACATTACTAACTACTAGCAGAATTTAGACTAAATTACCACATTCCACACAGTACTGAATAAACATAAAAGAATCTTTCAAAATTTCAGTTTTATGGTAGACTAGATACTAAATTTCCATTTCTTACTATTACCGTAAAAGAGTATGCCATGCAAATACACTTTCAAGCTAAACAGAAAGATTAAGCAGTTAAATAATAGTTTTCAGAACTGCCAAATCTGTTACCTTTTGTTAGTTAATACAGTGCCTTAAAGCATGCAGCACTCAAGTGCTGGCAGTACCATGTATAAGCGCACCATAGAGTGCAGATCCTCTTACCCTACAACATAGCGTATTTCTCTGTCCACTCTCTTGCTAACCTATTGTACCTAATTGAACAAGTATACTTGGCATTAATTGTAACGTACAAAAGTTTTAACGGTGAAGATGAACATATAAAGAATGCAAATATTTGAGAAATTCAGGTCAATTTTATTTTAAAAACAGTATTGTTATGTCTTTTCCAAAACTGTTAATTGGGGTAAAGATAATTTAGTTTCTTCTCCTAAACTTGGTAATAACTTAACAAACAGTGCTTACTATGTTAAACATCTTAATATGCTTAACATTTTAAAGGGGCTATTTCATATTCAATGTTACATAAAACACAGGGGTTTTTTTAATTAAAAAGAACAAAAATTCACTAAGTACACATTTCAAACCATCTTTCTGATACTTCTGAACAATTATTACCAGAAATAAAAAATCAAGTCTTAACATTGCCACAAATTATAGCATAATATAAACCTAATTCATTAAACATAACCATTTTAAAATGTTATTTCCATATAGTACTTTATACTTACTTATCTCTGTCTGTTTTATAGATCCGTGCAATCTCTGGCACTAGGGGGTCATCTGGGTTTGGATCGCACAGCAGTGAACAAATGGATAAAAGAACTACAAAAAAACCCCAAGTATCTATTAACATCAAATGCTGGGATAAAGAAAATTTACCAAAGAACATTTTAAAACACATAAAATTTAATCATCACCAGACTGTCCCACCACTAGGCATGAATCTATAGCTCAAAGAAGTTGTAACATGAACAGATATATACATATCCATGTTTCACTGCAGCATTATTTACAATAGTAATGAGATGTAAACAACCAACGTGTCCACTATCAAAACAAACAGCTAAAGAAACTATGGCATAATCACAAAAAGTGTCACACATTAAGATTGTATGAAACACTACACTTCCTGAGGAGTCACGAGGAAATTATGCTGAGTGGCGTAAGTCAATCACACAAAGACAAGTGTGGTACAGATTATATATAAAAAGCTAAGAACTGTTTATACATAGAATCATTCTTGAGCAGAAATAGGAAGTTAAAGTACACAGGTAAGCTGGGTAAAGGAAATAGAACTATGCTAAAAAACTGAAAAAACATGGCAATTAATGACTCAAAGCAAATTATATATGAATAACTGAATAAAAAGCAGTATGACTTCCATGAGACAAAGTTTTAGGAAATTTAGCATCATAGGAAAGAAGTCCTGGTAAACAGAGGGTGCTAAAATAGAACTCCTGTGCATAAAGTTTAATACTAATTAGCTATAAACCAGCCAAACGCATAAGGTTCTGGAATGATGCTGTATTATTCTGTATCTTAAAAATAAATAGCCTTAGAATTGAATTTTCTAAAAAGAAAAAGTTCTGTCTCCTTGAATGTATATAGTGCTATGAGAGAGTTGTACTGCTAACCAAAGGCCTAGTGTGCCTCTCTGGTGGTTCTGATTCACTAATGGCTCCAGGTGTATGGGAGGAAATGAGTAACATTCTCTGGTGCAATTACAGCTTTGGAAAGCAACTCAAGAGTCAGTTAGGATTAGGTTCTGATTCAGCGACTTTTTACATAGGGTCAACATAATTCTTTTGAGTTCACCACTCCAAAACTGCTGTCAGGTCAATTGCAACTCTAAGACAAAGGAGAACTGCCTTATGTGATTATCAAGACTATATAATAAACCTTTACGGCAGCAGACTTTTAAGACTTTTCTCTCAAGTGGCTGGTAGATTTAATCAATGAGTTATCAGTTGGCAGTTAAAAGCTTTAACCTTGGTGCCACTGTGATGCCTTCTATCCCCAAACAGTGGTGATGGTGGTGTTAGTTGCCGTCAAGTATGACTCACAGTGACAATAAGAAACACCAATCTGGACCCTGTTTTATTCTGTGATGTCCTCAAAATCTGTAACACCCTCAAATGCACTGCTGCAGTCACTGTGTCAATCCACCTGGTCGTCTTCCTTTGCTTCATCATCCTTCCAACTGCCCCAAGAATGATGTCCCTCTCCAAGGAATAACCTCTTCTAGCAACATCACTGAACTATTGTCAGATGAAGTGTCATCATCTTTGCCTCCAAGAGGTTAAATAAAATAATGCCAAAAATCTCTGGCACTAAGCTAACTTTAATCTTCATTTTCTAACCTTTTTTTGTTAAACATACCAATTCAGAAGATGTCAAGCATCATGAGGAACAAATGGCATTCACCCTGAGTGTCTATGATGTGAATGTTGCTTAAGTCCTTTCCAATCAAAATTAACTCACAGCTAACCCTCAGGAGGGTTTTCAGAAGCAGTTAACCACACAGGAGGAGACTGCCCATCTTTCTTCCAAAGCAGCTGGTTGATTCCTATACCATACCTTGTGATGAACAGTGCAATTTCTAACCACTAGGCCACCAGAGCTTTCCTCAAACTTCCTAATAAATGAATATTTTTGTAAGAAAGTCTTAAAAGAAAATCCTTTAGTAAGTTTTATTAAATATTTTGAATTTTTACCTTCCTTTTTCATCAAGCCTCTTTCCCTCTTGTTCTCCAAGAATTAGAAAACAACCAAAAAGAAAGAGAACAGGAAAAAAGGGTGATCTAGCTTTTTGGTTTTTATTTATTTTTAAATGACAAATTATCAAGTAAAACAGGTAATGGAGACCTCATAAAAATGAAACACTTATGATCATCAATGGACTTTTATCAAATGATTAAGACAACAACTGGGGAGAAAACTTTTTAGGAGTCATACATGAAAGGTCTAATATCTAAAGCACATATAGAATTGCTACAATTTAACGACCTAAGATAACTAACCTAATAAAAAGGCAAAGGATAAGAACTCAAGTAAGTGTACAGTCAAATCTCCATCAATATGAGAAAACATGTTTACAATCAGTGCCAAAAACCCCAAACCCATTGCCACTATGTCAATTTCCAACTCAGAGATCTCAAAGACATTTCATTTAGCAGCCCAAAACGCAACACACTACGCCAAGGGTACACAGCCATTATTAAACTCATTACCTAAAAGTTGATTCCAACACACAGAAATTTTATAAGTAGAACTGTCTTAATAGAGCTTTTGAGACATTAAACTCTTTATAGAGGCCAAATGCTACATCTTCCTTACACAGAAAGGCTGGGAGATGTGAACTGCTGACATTTCAGTTAACAGCTGAACCTTTAACCTCTGTGACCTAGTTGTCTGGTGTGTAGAAATCATTTAGAGATGCAAATCAAAACTACATGAATGATGAACATGAATGAGATAAATGTATACAAATTTTGTTATGTAAATAAACATAAAAAAAAAATCCCAACCACGCTAAAACTATTTCTAACTAGATACTACCTCATTTCTATTCAAATGGCCAAGAGCTAAAACCAAAAAACAAACATTGGCAAAAATATGGAAGATCAGAATCCTTTATCCATTACAGATAGGGAGGTAAAAATGGTTTAATAGCTCTGTAGAAAGGCATCATGTATGTGATACTGAAAAACAAAACAAAACAAAAAAAACAGTATTGTAAGAGATGAAAAGGCATTATCTTTTGAAAAATTGTATTAACTTTGACAGGAGCAAATATATATCACCTTTTAAATCCAAAGGGTGTGTTGTGTGTATGCAAGTAGACAAAAAATTACAAAATAGTAGAGACCAGAAGATAGCTTCAAGTTTGACAGTTTAATGAATTCTACTGTATTAATAATTATGAGGAGAAATGTGGCATCAGGATTGGTGGAAGATCCATAAACAATCTGCGTTATGCAGATGACACAACCCTGCTTGCTGTAACTGAGGAGGACCTGAGAGGCGCTTGCTGCTGAGGGTCAGGGACTGCAGCCTTCAACAGGGATTGAGGCTCAATGTCAAGAAGACAAAGATTCTCACCACTGGACCAATTGGCAGCATCAGGATGGATGGTGAAGAGACTGAGATTGTTCACAGCTTTAGTCTGCTTGGCTCCACGGTCAACACTCTTGGCACCAGCAGCCAGGAAATTAAAAGACGTATTGCCATGGGAAAGTCTGCTGTTAGGGACCTCTCTAAAGTACTCAACAGCAACGGTGTGTCTCTGGAGACTAAGGTGCATCTGGTACAGGCCATGGTCTTTGCAATCACTTGTTATGCGTCACAGAGCTGGACAATGACCAGGGAGGATAGAAGAAGAATTGATGCTTCTGAGCTTTGCTGTTGGAGAAGAGTGTTGAGGTGCCATGGACTGCTAAGAAAACAAACCGATTCATCCTAGAGAGGGTTAAACCGGGCTGCTCCTTGGAGGCAAGGATTCTGAGGCTCCGTATGACATACTTTGGTCATGTAAGGATGGATCGGTCCTTGGAGAGGGACATCATGCTTGGTAGGGTGGAGGGCAGGTGCAGGAGGGGAAGGCCCTCTGGGAGATGGACTGATTCAGTGACTGGGGCAATTGGGATGAGTGTGTTAGAGACAGTGAGATTGGCACAGGACAGAGCAGAGTTTAGAGAGCTGTTATACACAGGGTCGCTATGAGTCGCAAGTGACTCACGGCACATAACAACAACAACATTGCATTAACACTTTAAAGAATTAACAACATTCCCCTTAACTGTCTCCCCTTATGGATACTATCACAATGTTTTCTGAAACTTTTTAAAATACACTGAGTAGGTGATTCTATTGTTGGGTTAAAGTGGCACAAAAGCCAAAGGAACCATTTAAAAAAGAAAAAGATTTACTATTTGGAATATTCATGTATAGACTAGACAACTGGCCAGAGATGTCAAATAATAAACACATGGCTATTTCAAATGGGAGAACAGGACTGATAGATCTTTCCTACTCTATCATTTTAGACTACTACAGTCATTTTTCTGACTGAAGTATTTATGTCCAAAATTAATAAACAAAGCCAGAATAAAGAAAATGCTCCCTAAAATAAAAACCTTAAGATTTAAAAAAGCAAATAAAACCAGTCATTGAGTTTTATTATACTATCATTAAGTAAATATAGTGTCAGAAATGTTGAAAATGGAATTTTCTATCCTTTGTGTTAGACTCTGCTTGGTAATGGTCTCCAACTCTTACAGACCCAAATAATCAACAGATGTGGAACTAATATAAGAAAGTGCTTTCCACTCTGTGAGAGACAGTGAGGGAGACAGGGTGAAGAAACTAGAAAAGTGTAACCAGAGGAACCTTGGAGATAAAGCCATAGAGGGTTTGCTTGCTGGATGACTGAAGGGAAAGCTGACTTGTGACTGTTTGCTAAGTTTGCTAGATTAAGGAAATTAAGAGGCTTTTTTGAATTTGGGCTGCTGAACTGAACCTGGACTTTCATTAACTAAGGAACTGTGTACTGTTAATCTGGCTTGAGACTGCTTGACTCACATTGATTGATATTTTTTGCTAGCCTACTCCCCAAACTATTTCCCGAGTAAACCCTATAAATGTAAATAAAGTGTGTAAGTCAAGTTGCAACAAACACTGGACTCAATGTGTATTATGTGTATTATTTATGGGGACAGTTTCACTGGATGAAGTGGGTAGAAGTCAGACTTGGCCACTCATGTTGCATCTACTCCTTTTATAGTAGGCTAATGAGAAGCACAAATCACTTGGAAGGGAGTCATATAGTGCAGAGATTCATTACTTTGCTGAATTTGTGTTAAGGTAACTAATGAAAAACTATCATCCCCATCCCCAAATCATTTTAACCAACCCTGCTTCAGGAGCAAAATATAATTACTTATTTCTTTCCAATTTTTACTGAGAAGTAGAAAGATGAGACACAGTAATAATGTAAAACAATAAAATTCTTGATCAGGAAAAAAAAGAGTAAAGCTTTCTTTTAAAAAATATTTTACCTTTAGAAATAGTTAAAGCAGGAGACCACTGTGATCTTAGTATATCGAGACAAATGCTGCCATTACTGTTAATATTTGGATGATAAATTCTTGTTGTAAATGCAACCTAAAATAAATGAACAAAAAAAGCCTTCACATATTCCCCCAAATAAGTACAAGCATTTCTAAAGATAAATAAAAGTCAGTTTAAGAAAATAAAATTGCCAAGATCTCATTTAAAGTCTGATTAAAAATTCTGCCAGCCTTCCTTCTTACAATTTTTTTTTTTAAAAAAAGGAGAATGGGGTCAAAATTTCATTATCAAAAATAGAAAATTAGCATGGGCTTTACCATACATAATACTAAAAACGCACTCTGAGGGAATGTAAATATATTACAAAAATTACTCACAGGGAGGGGTGGGCAGGGAGAAAAATGCAACAATGAATGAATGGCAATCCCGTCTCTGTAAACTTTCATTCAAATTAATAATAAAAAAAAGGATAAAAATAATTACTCCAAATTTTATAGATCAGTTTAACTTTAAGGTGTATCATTAGGTTATATATGTGCCTGAATTTGTTATTTCTAATGTACATAAAGCACACATTTGAAAACATGAAGTCCCGAGATTAACAATATCTGATTTTTGGACCACTCTTCCTGGACCTCTGATTCAGGGATTTCTTGATTGGTATACAAGAAATTAAGACTACTAGCAGAACTGTGTAAAGCCATACATATGCAAAGTAGAAAAATTACTCACTTTCACAATACTCTTTCTTTTACACTACTAAAACATCTGCAAGTTTTTTTGTTCACCGCTGTTGTGTGCACTTGAGTCAGAAACCGTCCATAATGACCATCCAGTAGGTTTTTGTTCATTATGTCTCGCACAGTAAGTCCAAGTATTAACAATATGCACATGTTCTAAATTCTACAAATTCTTAGACACAATTAGGACTGGACTTACTTTGAAATCTGATGACTACTGGTTTCACAAAGATGCAAACCAACTATAGTAACATTCCAATGCCTTGTGTATATTATTATTATTTCCAATACAGGCAGAATTTATGTTACTAGATGTGTATTTTAATAGTCAAAGATGTGTGTTACCCATGGTAACAGTTATGTGTATTAGCACATAGTCTGTGCAAATATTTATCAACGTGAACATTATGTTTGCTATGTATGAGATGCTAAGGTTAATAATCCAAACCTATAAATACAACAAAGTGCTTTAAAAAAAACCTTCTTCATATTATTATTTGAGCCTTGCAAAACTAAGAAAAAAGACATTTTAATTTCATTTACAAAATCAGAATCTTAGTACTTTTAATAACAAGTGTCAGTATCATGGAGCAGGGATTCAAATCAATGTAAAAAGCTGGTGTCAATTGCTAAAAATGTACTGAAATAAAACACAAATGTATGCTACTGGGTATGATGGAAAATACTTACCTTAGGTGGTTTGAAGGGGTAGTCTGTAGGAAAATGAATTGTCAAAAAGAATACACCGCCTTGATATGGGCTGTCATTCTGTGAGACGGAAAAAAAATCTGCTTAACTCGAATATACAGTATTACTAAATATTATATAATATTTATAGTTTTTAAGCATTACCTATTCAAACTGAAATGAGTAACTTAAATCACTCGAGATTCAGTTCATATTAATGGGAGGATGGGGAAGGTAAAAATTTACTATCTCAGTTCACTTAAATTTACATAAATCAAGATTACTGTTATGTGCTGTTGAGTTGCTTGCGACTAATTGAGATCCTATGTACAAAAGCCCTAAACTCTGCTCTGTCCTGTGCCAATTGCACTGTCTCAGATATGCCCAACCCGATTACCCCAGTCACTGAATCAATCCATCTCACAGAGGGCCTTCCTTTCCTGCGCTGTCCCTCCACCCTACCAAGCATAATGTCCCTTAGACAAAGCCTCAGAATCCTTGCCTCCAAGGAGCTGCCGGTTTAACCCTTTCCAGGATGAATCTGTTTGTTTTCCTAGCAGTCCATGGTACCGCTCAATACTCTTCTCCAGCACCACAGCTCAGGATGAATCTGTTTGTTTTCCTAGCAGTCCATGGTACCGCTCAATACTATTCTCCAGCACCACAGCTCAAAGGCATCAATTCTCCTTCTATCCTCCATAGTCCCCCCTAAAAAGTTCAATTTCCGCTCAGCTCCCCATAACTGTCATTCAAACCATGAAAAGATTTTATTCAAAAGTATACTGAATTATCCACACAAAATTAATAGTTACTTTTTTGGGGGAAAACCCACAAAACTGATGGTGAGTTTTTCCATTTGAACCAAAATACTTTAGAGCAATTGCAGTATTTTTTTGCTAATGCTCATTATAACAATACGTAATAGTGTAAGTCAAAGAGGAAAACGTACAAATGTGAAATTTTACCTTAAATGTAAAATTTTGTAGAAAAATTTTAGTAAATCAAACAGTAAAATTATGAAATACTTATCATTGTTCCTATTTCACAAATGAATACTTAAGAGATACAACTTAATGAAGTATACAGATGGCCAATGACAGAAGCCAAGATTAAGATACAGTGCTACTGAGGATCACTCAGACAGCACTGATAAAGATCATTACAAAAGACTTAGGCGTATCCAAATCTTAAAGAGCAATAAAAAAGAAATTAGAGAACAGCACACAACTTTACCAGATTAATAATGGAAGATAATTTCAAATATTAAAGCTTTAATAAAAACCCACTTACCAAACTTAAGCTTTTGCTTTTTGTGTCATTTTAGTTTCACAAAATCAAGGGCTAATTCTAGCTGCTTTCAAACAAATGCAATCCAATGAGATTGACAAATTCAAACTTCCCTTCCCTTGGTTAAATATTTACTCAAAAAAATTATGAAAAGCATCATCTCAACATTACAGGTTCGCACAAAAATTCCAGTAAGTCAGAAGAAAGCTGTTCAAACAGTAAGATTCAGAGATAACCAAGTCATTAAAAAAAAAAAAAAAAGGCAGGGGGAGCATTTACTATAAATGGGTATTATTCAGAAAACTACAACAAATACTCAAAATCAAGAAATTCTGTGCCATCTGCTGTGCTTCAACCCACTGCTACACTCACTCTGTGTCAAATCCATCTCACGGAGTCTCTCTCTCTCTCTTGCTGACCTTCTACTTTTAAACTTGTCATTCTCCAAGGACTGGTCACCCCTTAAAAATACACTCACAAAAGTATGGGAAACAATCTCACCATCTGTGCTCCTAAGGAACATTCCAGTTTTACTTCTTCCAAGGCATATTTTGTTCTACTTTTGGCAGTCCACAGTATAGCCAACATTCTTTGATAACATCACAATTTCAAAGACATCACTTTTCCTACAGTCTTTCCAACTTTCACATGTTTATGAGAATACCATGTCTTGGATCAGGCACCATTTTAACTTTTTAATCTGACCTCTTTTCACTAACAGCAAATAGAGAGCTCTAGTGGGTAGTGAGGTGAGCTGCCAACCCAAAGGTGGGGGTGGGGCAATTAAAATAAACCAGCTGCTCCACGGCAGACAGACCAGCAACCTCTTATCAAGGAATTTACAAGCCTCTGAAAAGCCCCTGGAATCAACTATTAGTTCCAATTCCAAGACAATGAATTTTGCACCTCCCCCATATACTCAATGTAATAGTACTTCACTTGATTTATGGACTACTGTTTTCCTGGAGTGCTAATTGTGGATCCAAGTGAAAGGAAATCTTTGGTAACTTGTTCTGTATTTTATAGGTTCAGTTATAAAGAATTTTGTTTTCTATTGAGATGTAATGTACTCTGTGAATTAAGGTGCATTTGATCCAACCCAACCCACAGTATTATCACTTCATATATATGTACGAAAGCTGGACAATTTAGTAAAACAGAACAACGAATTAATGCATTTGAATAATGGTTATGGTGAAGAAGGTTGAATACATTGTATGATCAGATCAATTTTCAGTATGGTACAGCAACAGGCCATTTGTTATGTAGAGTTCATTGTGAACTGGAACAGACATGACTACATCTAATAACAAGAGCAAAAACATGGCAATGACATACAAATGATACGGCACTGCCTTCACTCTGTCTCCTATTACCTACTTTATCCTTCACTATAATGCTATACTAGTCCATGACAGAATTTACTCCCCTGACTGTATCACTGCTTTCAAAGTAAATCTAAATTCCTACATACTGCCTAGTCCTGTTGTAAAAAGAGCAGAAAATAGGACATGGGGGCAGAGGGTCATAAGCATCTTTCTGAAGAGGCCAGAGAGAATAGCACAGCTCCTCACCACCCCAAAGAAGAAAGCAAATGAAGAGCCTACAGCCCATACCCCAGCTCCCACCATGCCTCTAGAGCCACATCAGAAGCAAGAGGTCAGTTTATTAATTGCTGATGCAGACTTTACTCATAGTTGTGGTACCAAGAACGGGATTTATTAGGGAAATAGGTTGGGGAGTGAAGAGAGGCAAAAAATATCTCAGAACTCAATTCCAGGTTTAGCCCAGCAGTCCCAAGCCAGCAAAATACAATTCCTTAATTAGTTTAACTCTTTGTTTCATTTCAGCAACACAAATTCAAGAAGTCTCTGGTTTCCTCAATCATCCAACAATGTTTGCCTAAGAGTGTTTTAAGTAATCTTCTCCTTCATGCATCCAGCAAAAACAGCAAAATCTTAAACTGTGAATAGCACAAATACAAAAAGCCTGAGGTAACACTTTGCCATAGTTTCTCAACAGCAATGCCACAGTGTCTCCGCCACCATCACCAGGGTTTCCTTCCAGTGTCCCTCAAGTCTTGCGGTTTAGGGTTGTCTTATCCTACTCTACCGCTGTTGATGATTTCCAAGACCATGTATCTGTGTAGCTGGAGAAAGGAGGGGGTCCCAAGTTAATGGCTTAAAAAAGTCATCTTTAGGCTAACAACCCACTTGTATCCTCATAATTTGTTGCTTTCATGTCACTGTTGCAGCCACTCTGACAGTTCACTCTGTTGAAGGTCTTCCATTTTTTATGCTGATTCTCTGCTTTACTAAGCAAGTTCTTCTCCATGGACTGGCCCCTCTTAGTATGACCAAATAAACCAAAGTCAAACCAGCTGCTGTCATAGAGATGCAATTTTTATTAGAGTAGGACTGTGTTCTCTGTAGGGTTTTAATGACTGATTTCTCAGAAGTAGATCACTATCTCCTGTTTTAAAAGGCAACTCAGGGTAGCAATTCTTTGTCAGCAAACCAAACAAATTAACTTTTACAGCACCCAAAGATATGATCTGGTTCTTAACTTATCCATGGAGCCTTATCTTTTAACTCTACTCCACAAGAACCTTTCTTCATATAAATATTTTGCAGATAACTCAGTTTTTTCTCATTTCACTCTGAATTTATTCCGTATATCTTTCAAAACACACTCAATTTACAGCATTAAGATTTTATTTCTGTTTTAAGAGGGAAAAACCCAACATGAGTTTTCCCATGATAATTTCCTGCTTGGAATGCTCTTCCTTATCTCCTTAATCTAATTTATACACACATGTATGGGGACCATATAAAATTTAAACTTCTTAAAAAAGTAAATATATGCTATATTTTTGTCTAATCCATTTTTTGTCCTCTGTATACCTCTGTATATATCTACCATTACTCACCATATGTGTAACTTATTTACTTTTTATCTTCCCTCCAACTAGATATACACTCCTTAAAAGTAAGGTACAGAGGAAAATAAAGTTTGGATGTATTATTATTAGGCTTTGTAAGAAATGACATAACATGTAAAACTGTAACAAAAATTAGCAAAAACTAAGAATATAGTAATTCTAGAATATTATATACTATAATATAGTGTGTATATGTATATATAAGCTAAATTATCCTCATGCAATGTTCATACTGAGAACTTTAACATTTTCTCCATTAATCGATCAGAAATAAAAACTATATGTAGTTAAAAAAGCAAATTTAAACAAAGCACTTGACTAAGCAATCTATCAGTTTTCCCAATTGTCCAACAATCAAGTTTTAATGCATTATTTCTGCCAATGCAAAAGTTACTCAGATAATCCTTATAGCTAGCTGGTATTAATTATACAGCCTAATGCTAACTTTAGAAATTCATAGTTATTAAAAATTTAATTCTGAAGGATGCTGCCATTTCACTTGATCCGAGACACATTCCAAGGCAAAAGTAATCTTAACATCCCACTTTTCTAATCTCTATCAAATGGGTGTTATACCATCGACTATTCATTATCACAACTGCATACCACGTTGCCAGAATAGTCACAAAATGAGCTTATTTTGTTATGTGCCATCGAGTCGCTTGCAACTCATAGCGACCCTATGTAGAAGAGCCCTAAACGCCATTCTATCCTCTGCCACCCTCGCCATCTCAAACACACTCATTCCCACCACTCCACTCACAGAATCGATCCATCTCATTGAGGGTCTTCCTCTCCTGCGCCATCCCTCCACTCTCCCAAACATGATGTCCCTCTCCAAGGACCAGTCCCT